GGAACAGTAGTAGCCGCAGCAGTAGCGGTAGCAGCAGTAGCAGCAGCAGCAATATCAGCAGCAGCAGCAGCAGCAGTAGCAGCAGCAGTAGCAGCAAAGGCTTGTGTTGAATGCTTGTTGCTTTTTGATTTTTGTTTGTTTTTCTTTAATTGTCTCCTTAGGGTTGTTTCTGATGGATGGAGAGGAGACAGGCAAACTCTACGCCAGCCACAAGACCCGCATGCATGCGTTCACTCGCGTAAGCAGCAGTAGCAGCAGCAGCAGTAGCAGTAGCAGCAGCAGCAACAGCAGCAGCAACAGCAGCAGCAGCAGCAGTAGTAGTAGTCTTTGTCTCGTTTCTATGAGGAAACTGCGTGCAGCAGTAGCATCAGACATCTCTCTCTGTTGCTGTTTCTGGTGCTGTTGCTGCTTCTTCTACTGCATCTGCTGCTGCTTCATCTGCTGCTGCTGCATCTGCTGCTGCTGCAGTAGATCTAAGCGGAGGTGCTTCTGGTTCTCGTCTAAAGGCTCAGGCCTCGAGACTTCCTGCTGCAGTTCGACGAAAAGCACAGGGCTTCTTTAAATGGCGATCGGATCACCAGAAGAAAAAAATCAGCAAAGAAGAACGATATAGAGAGTGCATTAAACTTGTCATTGATAGGATGGATCCTCATGTATGTTTTAGTTTATTTATTATTTAATCTGTTTGTTTATAGTACATTTTTATCTCTATTTATATATATATATATATATCTATGTCTATATCTGTTTCTTTTTGTGTATCTATATCTATATGTATTGGTTTCTATATCTATATCTATATCTATATCTATATCTATATCTATATATCTATATCTATATATATATCTATATCTATATATATATCTATATATATATCTATATATATATATATATATAGATGCAGATGCATTTTTTATGTTTATACATCGCCTCTCTTCTTTTTTTCTTTTGTGATGTTTATTTTGTTTGTTTGGTTGAGTGCTTGTTTGTGCTGCTGCTGTTGCTGCTGTTTTTGCTGCTGCTGTTGATGCTGCTGCTTGTTTGCTGCCGTTGGTTCGTCGTTGTTTGTCTGATGATGGTGTCTGTTTGCTGCAGCGCTTGTTGCTGCTGTTGCTGCTGCTGTTTGTTTGCTGCTGCTGCTGCAGCAGTTGCAGCAGTTGCTGCTGGTTTTGCTGCAGATGTCTGTTTGCTGCTGCTGTAGCTTCTGCTGCAACAGTTGTTGCTGCAGTTTGTTTGCTGCTGTTTCTGCTGCTTATTGTTTGCTGCTGCTGCTTCGGCTGCAGTTGCTGCTGCTGCTGCTGCTGCTGTTTGTTTGCTGCAGCTACCTAACTTTGGATTAGCAGATAAGACAGAGCTGCACATCACCGTTGACGCCGAGCAAGGTAAACAAAGCCCTGAAAATAAAATAAAATATAATAAATAATAAACATTATATATATATATTTATTTAGTTTGTTTCTTAATTTATATAAAATAAAACATATTATTTTAATGCTTCGCCATCAAAGAAAACAAGGAGACAGAGAAAAAGATATTAATAAACAGAGACAGAGACAGACAGAAGACGCAGAGACAAACCCAGCATTATCAACTGCAGCAGCAACCACAGCAGCACCTGCAACAGCGCCTGCAGCAGCAACTGCACCACAAACAGCAGCAGCAGCTGCACCATCACCTGCAGCAGCAACAGCATCATCATCATCATCATCATCAGCAGCAGCAGCAGCAGCAGCAGGACTCAAGGAGTATTTGATATGATTCTTTTGCTTTTTTGCTGCAGGTCTTTATGTCGGGGGTTGGGTACCAGCAGCAGAGCTGCTGCCAGTAGCAGCAACAAAAGAAGGTGCGCAGCAAGAGCCGAATCTAACAGCAGCAAATTCTATTGAATCTTCACAAACTATTAAGGGGGGCCCCCAGGGGGCCCCCCAGGGGCCCCCTCCCCCAGGTACCCCCAAGGGGGGCCCCACAGGGGGCCCCCAGGGGCCCCTAACAAATAGCCCAAGGGAGGGGGCCCCCGGGGGCCCCTCAGTAATAGATATGGGTGGGGGTAGAGGTGTAGGGTTTGATGCTGTTAATGAAGAAAGAAATATAAGAGGGAGAGACAGAGAGCATACAGTGCACCTGCAAGTTAAAAGAAAAGTCTCACCATCACAAACAAAGGCTAAGGGGTTGCATCAGAGGTAAGATATTAATTATATTAAGATATTAATTAATTAATTAATTAATTAATTAATTGAGATCCCTGCTGATGCTGATTGCTGCTGCTGCTGGTCTTCCTGTTTTCTGCTGCTGCTGCTGACTTTCCCGTTGCTACTGCTGCTGGTGGTCTTTTTGCTGCTGCTGGTCTTGCTGCTTTTGCTGTTCTTGCTCATGGTGCTGCTCTTGCTGCTGCTGCTGCTCTTGTTGCTGCTGCTGCTCTTGCTGCTGCTGCTGCTCTTGCTGCTGCTGCTGCTGCTGGGTCTCCCCTTAAAGAATTGGAGTGTCTGTGTGTATATAATGTGTTGTGCAGTATAAACAAATACGAACAAAGACAGGAAAGTACTATTATATTATTTGTCTTTATTTCTTTTTCTGTCTTTGTTTGTTGCTTAGGCTAGGGCATGCCCTGCAAGTAAAACAAAACATAAAGCAAGCAGACATTAGAAGAAGACTAAGAAAGACGCAGCAGCAGCAGCAGCAGCATCATCATCACGGGGAGAGATCTATAGAGGACTTCTTGCAGGAGACACCCCACATAAGGAGACAGACATGCGAGCAGACTTGTGACGGTATTGTTGTTCGGGTTAAGAGACCCCAGCAGCAGCAGCAGCAGCAGGAGGAGGAGCAGGAGCAGCACCACCACCGCCACCACCACCAGCAGCAGCAGCAGGAAGGAGACGCAAACAAACAGCGAAGAGGCACAGACATTCTTGACCCCAGCAATCAGCTAGACAGACCCTTTGGATGGGCGGAGGTTAGCTGCTGCTGTCTCCTTTATGTCTCCTTCCTGTCTTCTTTCTGTCTCCTTTCTGTCTCTTTGCTGTCTCCTTTCTGTCCCTTTGCTGTCTCCTTTCTGTATCTTTGCTGTCTCTGCTGTCTCCTTTTTGTCTCTTTGCTGTCTCCTTTCTGTCTCCTTTCTGTCTCCTTATCTTTTTTGCGCCTCTTTGTTGTCTCCTTTCTGTCTCTTTGCTGTTTCCTTTCTGTCTCTTTGCTGTCTCCTTTCTGTCTCTTTGCTGTCTCCTTTCTGTCTCCTTTCTGTCTCCCTTCTGTCTCTTTTCTGTCTCTTTTGTGTTTTGTTAATATTGCCATTCGCTGTCTGTTTCCTTTCTGCGTTTGGTTTGTCTTTGCATGCAGTTCGTTTCTCTTGTATTTCTTCCTGTTATCACCCCTTATTTGTTTATTTTATTTTATTTATTTTATTTATTTTATTTTAATGTTTGCTTCGCTCTTTCTTCTTTTTACATATATCTTCGTGGCTTTTAATTTTTTTGTTTTGTTAGTGTTACTGTGGTGGGGTTGTTGATATCTCCTTTAGTCTATTGAGTACCCCCTTCCTGTTCTAATCCTGTCTCTTTTCTTTGCTGTTTGCTGCTGTTCTTGCTGCTGCTGCTGCTGCTCCTCCTCCTCCTCCACCTCCTGCTGTTGCTGTTGCTGCTGCTGCTGCTGCTGCTGCTGCTGCTGCTGCTGCTGCTGCTGC